CTGTTGACGTTGTCAACAAAAGTCTGAACTGTCAAACATTCAGAAGGACAAAACGTTCAGAGAGCAGCTGGTCGTTGTTGTTGTTACTTGTGCAATTATTTCAGAAGCGTCAAAAAAGTTAATCTGTTGAAACAGACAACAGAAGCACTGATATACTGTTTGTATGTAATTAAAAGGTGGGTTTATAATAACAGTTTACTGTGGGATTATTAATGCTGAAGATGGGCATGCTCAGGTGAGAAAAAGCATCTAAAATGTTGTTTATTTGTTCTCTTGATGTCACGCAAATCTGTAACCCATGTAAGACGAGTGCGCTTTCCTCCCTTAATTGCTGCAACAAATGAGAGGTGAGAAGCCGCGTCTGTCCAGGTCGCGTAAGAACAAAAACAGGAAACCAACAGAACACAGGAAGCCTGCGCACCTATCACAGCGTCAGAACCAGAGGCTCTGAGGCGACCTCACAGGTCAGGCGGGTACGAGTCGCTTCGTACATGTCAATAAATCTTTGCAGGGCACAAAACGAGACCTGGGGGCGGGGGGCGTATAAATCAACTCAGAACGAGGAGGAAGCACTTGAGTCAGCAAAGAAAGGAACACGACGTGATGACTGTAAAGAAAGGCGGTCAGTTCTGGAGTTGAGATGCAATTAAGCTTAATTTGAAAGAGAAACAGGTACAGCAACAAGATGCAGATAAAGTAAAACTGAGTTATATCATCAGCCACATGAGAAACCAAATCATTGTTCCGCCCACCTCGACTGCGGGGTCAAAAGTTTGTTCACCTGCAAACATGTTTGTAAAAGGCAGAAGAAGGCTGACACTTTTAAACAGAAAAACTACAATGTGAAACTCACCTTTCGGATCCACAATGGAACAATGGCGTGGTTGACACCTGGTTCAGTGTGAAGTTTTGCGGGGGCGTCTGAATTTAAAACGGAGACCTACGACTGTGGCTTTCTTTGAAAGGAAATGGAAGGAAGACTTTTTATAGACCCCCTCCTGACCAAAACGTCTACAGTGACGAACCGACGCCGCCACACAGATTCACCTATCAATTCTTATCTCGACCATGCTCAGGGTTTCAGAAAACTGCCAACACTGACAGCTAAGCACAGCTGTGGTGTGCAGTGTGGTTACACGGCTGTGCTGTGTGCCGTCGCAGACCAGAATCAGTTCGTTTTCAGTTCGTTTTCAATCAGAAGAATGAGCGATTTCAAACCTAAAATCCAAACAAGGTTGAAGCTCTTTCAGGATAAAACATCTACATACAGCTCTGAAAAAATACAGAACAGCAGCAAATGTTTAGTTTCTCTGATTCTTACATTTTTAGGCATTTTAAGTAACAAAAACAGGCAACAATTCTTCCAAATTCCACATAAAAGTACTGACATTTTTTTTGCAGATTGTGACAAACAGACAACAGACTGAAATAAGTGGTGGGCGGTATGGACTTTAAGTTTTATCACAATATGTCCTGGTGACAATAAGAACTATTCATTACTTCTTTTTTAGGCCTGACTGCATCTCAGCATTCAAAACCCAACAAATGTAAATTCTGCTTTTGAGAAAAATTGTAATGCATTCCTTTGTGTCACCAAGCTGCTCACAATTATTAATATTTAATAAATAAATAGTGGAGAAAATGGTAAAACCAACAACACAGATACTTTTGGGGGTTATTGAATATTAGCTGGAATGTATTGTAACAATAACTCAAAATTCTCATCATGACAAGAAATTTATCACGATAAATGACAAACGATACGATGAATTCCCACTCCTACCTCAAACAAAAAGCAAACATCACTACAATAATTACTCAACTTTGCTTTCATGCAGCTTTATTTTTATTTTTTTTGCATGTCTGCTCCAGTTCATCACGCCCTCTGCGTCTCCCACTTTGCGACACCTCGACTTTCACAGCACTGCTGCAAAAAACATCATGCATGCTCACATGTTTTCCCACATTTGACGTCTTCTGCAGGTTTTTCTCCCCCACCTATTACGTCCCCTTTCCTCCCGGCCACTCTCGGTAACCGAGCGACGGTGAAAAGCGAGCCATTGTCGACAAATGCTCTTTTTCTCTCTGGCATGACGCAAACCGCCGCAGTCATTTTCCACAGCGATTGTCGGGCGCCATCAGAGAGAGAGCGCCGATAACCCCTGCCAGGCCTTGGCACCAGCCAACAGGTGCCGCCACTGCCAGGCGAGGCTTTGGCACCGAGCGCGGCTCGCGGAAACCCTCTGACATCCAGAAGGGCACAGATTTGCACTGAATGCACCACTGAATCAACACTGCTGATTATCAATTAACATATAGCGGTTTTTGTATCTCGCAGAAAAGAGGAGCAAGAAAAAAAAAAAGGCTTTGAAGCAGAGAAAGCTGGTTTTAAAACATGCTAGTCTTGTGCTGTCATAATCACGTTCTGAATGCAGATTTAGCTCTGTTCAGGCCTCTGGACTGCGCAGGCAGGATCTTTTTTTTCTCTTTTTTTCATGCCTGATGGCCACATTTGTAAAGACGTCATGAGAAATGACAGAATATCTGCACCACCTGCAGAGTGTGCATTATCAAAGGTAACGCTTATCTGTGTATCACATTTGGCCTGCTGAGTAAAAGCCTCACGTTTACGTCTCATTAAGCCCATTTCTTTAAAGAAGACACCAACAATCAGCACACAAAGGGGGGAGAACATGACTAAGAAAACACATCACAGTTGGCTCGGCGTCGAGGAGCGTCTTTATTTAGCGCGTCACGCGAAGCCGTGCCGCGCCGCCGCCGCTCGCAGCACGTAGGTGTCTGTGATGTCTTCATGCTCGCCACTTGTGATGCCTCTAATGGGCATTAATACGATTATTTGCCTCCTAATACAAATTAGTCTGAGCGGCAAACACAAACAGCATGGGGGCTAAGCTCCGCCACCGGTTTCGACTCTGAAGCGTCTCCCACAATAACGCAAACATAATGGTGTTATTTATTAGAGACTGCGGAGGATTTTAATAAATCTGTCGAGGAATGTGTCAAAAAGACGCCTCTGTGAGTGGGGGCGCAGACGAGCCTCATACAGACACTGGAAGTGGAAATAAAGTCAAATAAAACTGAACAAATTGTTTTTTTTTCTCATTTTGAAGAAATTTGATCTAGAAAAGTAAAAAGAAATCCCATAAAATTCAGAATTATGGGATCCAATTTGGGTTTGTTGAAATAAATACTGGCATGCACTGCACTGCAAAATCACAAAGTCTTACAAAGTGTTTTGCCTATTTTCTACTGCAAATACATTGTATACTTGAAGTAAGACAAAACTGACTTAAAAGTAACTTTTCAGTAAGATATACGAGTTTGTTTTAAGCAAATAATTCCTTAAAATTGATGAAAAAGTACAAGTTCCACTGGCAGATTATTTCACTTTCACCTGGGAAAAATACTGTGAAATAATCTTCCTGTGAAACCATCAGTATTAAGGAATTACTGACTTAAAATAGCTCCAATATCTTGCAGAAAAGCTACTTTTGTGTTTGTTTTGCCTTATTTCAAGTATACTAAAATATTCCCACTTGAAACTAGACCAAGAATACTTGGTAAGATTTTGTGTTTTTGCAGTGCGTCTTCCCAGAGAGGTCTATAAAACTCCCCAAAAATTATAAAACACATTTATCACAACTTCCTTAAAAAGACTTTACATGTTGTGGATGCAGATAAGCAAGTAGAACCGTCTGAAAAGAAGGTGATTTTGATCATTTATGTCCATGTTGTGGTGCCAGAGGAAGCAGAAAACAGGAACAGGGGGGGGGCATGATGAACCGAGAGTCAGTTCCCGAGTCTTTAATTGTTTTATAATCACATGAAGAAGACAGAAATAGCAGCAGAGCAAGTGGTCTCCTCCTCGGGTCAGCTGACATCAAGGCCTGACGCCGCTCGGCCTGCGCCTGCCGCGCCGCGCCGACAAACACCAGAACCGTTTGCGCTGGAAGACGAAAAGACAACAACAACGTTCTCACACCGCAAACACTCGGCTTCTCAACAGTCACCCCCCTTTAAAGTGCGCGGCGTGCACTGTACACGCTGCAACTCCCACGCATGTACACGAACATCCGCTCGGCTCCGGCGTGCAGGCTGCGCCGCGCCTCGCCTCTCCGAACGCCTCAAAACTCCCCGCGACTCCTCTGAAATCAACCTGTGTCCGAACCGGCCCGCTCTCAGCTCTCGCTTTATTAGATTACAGAACCAATTAGCTGCCAGACAATCAACAGGCATCAGAGGCGGAGCAGTTTCTTTTAACAGAAAATGACTTTTCTGCCACTGCAGGCCGGACGGGTCGGCCTTTCACATGACCGAATAATCAAACTCTAATTTCTGCCTCGTGGATCGCAACAAATTAACAATTAATACAGCCAGACAGGCGGTGAAGGGAGGGGAGTGTCTGTGTGCGTGAGACGGAGGATGAGGAGCTGGCTTTGTGAGCAAGGGGTGAGGAAGGTCAGCATGTCCAGCTGGGGTTTTTTTAAACAGAGCAATCCCAAGGGAAAGAGTTGCAGGTGAGCCAGGAAGTGACGCCTGACAGAAACGGAGGCAAACTGCTCCTGACAAGAGTCTCTTTCTGAAAGATGCGCCTCTTTATCTGTGTTTTTTCTGTGCAGATTTAATCCCTCGTCACAGGATAAATCATCCATCCCCTGACGAACAAAACAGTTGTTAAGGCAAGTGTGTGTGTCAGGCGGAGAGAATACAGTGTGTTGAAATTGTTTCATTGGGGTACGTGGGTGGGTATTAACAACCTGATCTTAGCGGGATGCGCTTTCCTCCAAATCGCTCCTTTTTTTCCTCCCCCAAACAAAAGGATTCTGGAAAAACCTACACAGATTGGATAAAGACAAGCAGCACAACAAAAGACAATGTGGTTTAAAAAAAAAAAAGGAAGAAGGGAAAATATATACGGTGGGACGTGTAATGTGATTTGAATCGTGAAAAACTTGCATGCACGCATCCTTTAATTGCAGGAAATAAGAAGCAGGGAGAAAAGAAGGCGAGCAGGAGGAATGTCACTTTGGAGGAGCGTGACGAAACCGAGATGACGGACTCGGAGCGCAACTCGCCGAGCCCATTCTGAGGACGCCGAGACAATGTGAGGCTTTTATCAGCAAGCCGAGGAATCTGGATCAACAGTATGCAAAACATACACCAAAATAAATGCAACCAAACATGTTGCAACAGCAGAACCTCGCTGGGTTTTTGTGCTTCCTATAAAAAAATAAAGTTTCACATAATGACAAAATGAGCTGCAGCTCCTGATGCAGTCAGGGTGGCATGTCTGTATCTGACAGCAGAGCTGCTGCTGGTGTCGGGGGGGGTGTTGGTATCTTTCATTATTTCCAGCCCAGGAATGCAGCAATCACTATTAACTCGCCAAGCGCCAAGCTTTTTTTTTCTTCTTTCCCTTCTCCACAAACTAGTTGCAACATGCCGTAGATGAAGAAAATCATTGTTATCTTTCTCCTCTATTAGCAGTCTGACAGAGTTGTTCTACACTGAGGAGCGTGCACACACCGAATCCCCAAAGAGCCACACATTTAACACGCAAAAAAAAAAAAGAAGCGAGACAGGCCTCTTATTTACTGGCGACAGTCTAATAAATACACTTGCTGGCGGCTAAAACAGGTATTTACTCCACTCCCTACCGCAGGTATAATTTCACTGTTTGCTGAGCTGTTATTTTGCCACAGCGATAATTATCGAGGTGGCAGAGAAGGACGATTAATGGTTTTAGACGAGATATCAGCCTCAGCTCTAAAATCTCTGCAAACACCAGAGAGATGAAGGGGAACATGGAAGAATTTCAGGAGAAGTCTCAACTCAGAGAGGGAGATGGAGGCGGAAATTTAACATTTTTAGTTGAGGCTTTTTCTTCTTTTTTATTTTTAGCTTGATTGAGATGCACCAGCCATTTGAAGTGGGATCAGAATCAGCTTTTAAAATACTAAACAGTCAGTTTTTAAAAAAGGAACAAATCACAGCCAGCAGCATGTATGTTGATACAGGCTTTTTAGTTAAAGAAAAATCCAATAAAGCTTAAAAACATATGATTTGGTGCATAAATCTAGATTATGTATTAAATTCATTACTTCTGATAAACAGCACGCAGCTCCTTTTTTTTTCTCTTTAACGCGTCAAAATCCTTGGAGGAGAAAAAACCCTGATCCACAGGTCAAATACATATTTTTAAAAATCTCATTTTCCTTTTTTATATCCATTAATTGCATTAAAAAACGTAAGTTTTCTGTCAGTAAGTGCATCAACTGACAGCATGCACTTTAAGTTTGACTAAAATCACGTTAAAATCTGGAGTATAAGACGAGTTTTAATGATTTAATTTAGAAATTTCTTCATTTTGACTGATGGATTCTAAACTCTGGCGTCTATCACTAAACCTGCAGCACATTTTCTGACTCTTATGTTATAAAACTCAGAAATAAAATAGGACTTAAAAGAAAACTGGACATTTTAAGTCTACGTTTTAGGAACTGCAACACATCAAGCATAAAAGGAAAAAATATTCTGCAGGTTCTTTTTTTTTTTTAATTAAAAGACTACACTCTTAATGAGTTTTCCTCATTCAAAACTAGAATAGCAAATAAAAACAGGAATCAGTTTTGGCCTGGAAAACCCAGACTGGTGCATCTCTACTTTGAGGTGTGAGTTTGGGAACAAATAAAAACAAAATAAAACAGAACCAAGCGCTGGGTTTTTAAATTTTTGTTTTGTCTTGTGTTCACTAATTGGTCCCTCGTGTTCACGGGAACAGACTCTGGAGCTCAGCAACCATCAGATGATCCCCAAAGAACGCAGTCCGAACCGATCCCAGACGCTGGCTGGGATCACGGCTGCAAAACGCCTTGGCGCACATCACAAGCCGACTTCCTGCTCGTACACTACTACGCTACAGTAAATGCAACGTGCTCTGGTTTCGATTAGTCGTAATGAAAACAAAACCAAGACGATGAAGAACAAAGGTTGTACCTGCAAGTTAAAAGAAGAAAGAAAGAAAGAAAGGTGGAAACCCTGCAATTGTTTTCCCGAGACCAGCCCGCTGACTGTAACTCACAGAGCGGTTATTGTAAGAAGAGAAACGGGATTTTATCACATGGTTAATAAGCTGTGACAGATGTTTTACTCTCCGCCGCCGCCGCATCGTTGTGACCTGGCAGTCATGTTCAGCCATCCTCATGTTCTGATTCTTATCATTCCTGCCAAGCAAGTTTACAGATTTCGCCAAGCATGTTGACGTGTCCGCCTGGGGACACGTGTGTGTGTGTGTGTGTGTGTGTGTGAGAAAGAGGTGCATCTTTGTGCCACTTTCCCGACCACAAACTGATAAAAAGTGGTTGAAGAGGAGCTCTCTCTCTCAAAGCCGAGGAGTAATACTGAGAAGTTGTTCTTCTCGAGGCTTTTCGCCTTTGTCAGAAGGCTATGTTACAAGAAGTGACACATGGCAAGCCTGAGACAGGAAAAGGGCTCTTTGTGTTGGTGTGTGTGTGAATTGCTGCTCTCAACGGTACTGACCAGATAAGCCGCAGCACCTTGAGCTGCCAGAGATCTGCAAAGATAAAAGGAGAAAAATCACCGGTTCTTCGCCATGATCCGTTTTCTCACATGCAAAAGAAAGTGCCACGCTTTATCTCACCGGTGCACGTTCGCTCGCACGATTATTCATGAAAATCCCCGACTAATAGTCCAATCTGACACATCTGCTCGGGTCTCTGAGTCATCGGGTCAAACCTGCATTTCTGCTGACGTCTATTTATGAGCGATCTTGATTAAGCCAGTGGCCGAGCCGCTGCCTGTGTGAAATGTCAGCTTTTTTTTTTTTCTTTTCTCTAAAGGAGCAGACAGTGAAACCTTTAAAAGGCTGCACACCACAGAGCAGCGGTGCCCACGCACAACAGAAGACGGCAACACACACTCCTATCTGCCTGTCAAAAAAACACACACACACACACACACAACCTGCACAGTGTTCTGGTTGTTAATTCATCCGCACAGCCACAGGGGAAGAAGCAGCATCTCTGCATCTCACTGGACTCGCTGACACCCAGTCAGACTGAAAAACTTTTACTGCCGTGACATTAAATTAAAAAAAGTTTGACTCAAGCAGCGAAGAGAAAGAGTGAGCAGAGGAGAAACGATGAGGTGAGTCCAGGACGCATAAAACTTGAGTTGTAAATACAAACATTTGCTGTCTTTCCACATAAACACTGTTATTAGTTTTCTCTTAGCACATGAATGTCAGTATGCTCAAACACTAAAATGTCAAAATATCCTTCACTTGTTTGATCTTTTACCCCCCCCAAAAAACTCCATATTAGTTTTACAACCGACCTGATTCAATAAAATCTCTTGAAAATGTAAACATCAGAATCCGTCCTCGTTTTTTTACAAACAGCAGCATCACTTCTTCATCTTAAAACTCAAAATGTGACTCATTTTTTTCACAGAACAGACGATTCAGATCAAACAGCGTCTGAAAGATTTCACGGTTTTTCAGTGGGAAGGAAATCAAAATATGAAGAACAATTATTTCAGGATCATTTTTAAAGTGAGGCGGAAACATGAGGTGACAGGTGTGCAACATTCACCTGACTTTAGTCAACTTTCACCGAGTTTTCTGGCTTTTACAACTTTCTGAAACAGAAATGCAGTCCTCTTATATCGCTTTTATTTTATTCCTTATATTGAATATAATTTCATGAATGTGCAGCTATGTCACTTCAAAACATCCACCTGCCTAAATAAGTGAATTTCAGTGAATACATTTTAGATTTGGGAAGAAAATATGCGCAAAAGTTGATCATCCTCATTTAAAGGAGACGCACCTTATTTGTTTTTGTTTTGTTTTTCTGATGGTGAGACTTTAAATGACCCCGATCAGCTGAGGGCGGCCATGTGCGGCTGTGTGGCTCCATACCTTTAAAGTCAGCAGCCGCTCGACCTCCTGTTTTCCATCAAAAGTTGAACAGCCTCCCCGTTTCAGCGCTCCACCGCGGCGAGAGATCCAAAAATAGGCGACTGCTCTGTGGGAGGAAAAGCTGCTCTGAAAAGTCAAAAGTCCGACGGATGAGGAGGAGAAAGAGGCGGAGGAGGAGGAAGAGGAGGTGGAGGAGGGGGGTGGTCTTGTGGAGACCGCACAGGCGGGGAGAGGTTGAAGTTGAAGGAGCGCACACGGAGCGCAGAAAACGCGAACAACCGTGCGCTGCGGGCAGCGTGGGTGAAGTGGAGGAGAGGAGAGGAGAGTGGCGGCATGTGAGGAAGGAGGGCTGCTTTGAGATGAAGGGGTGGCAGGTAAACGGAGCGCCCCTCCCCGTTCGCATGATGCTCAAATCGATGATTTGCCAGCTGCGGCGCGGCTCGTCTCATTGCCCCACTTTGGTATCCGGGGACGCGCAGAGGGGAGAGAGAGCGGCGCACTCACTCACTCACTCACTCACTCACTCTCACTCACTCATTCACGTTCATTCTCACATTTACACACCGCATGTCTGCATGTCAAGGAGAGGAGGAAGGTTGAATCAACAACAACAAAAAGAGAATAAAAATAAATCCTGATAAGCAGCGGATTACGCGCAGCTTTTGCGCACACCTGTGCGGAACCTTCAGCCATCTCCAGTGCAGGAAAGAGCGCAAAAGTGCGTGCAAATAACTTTTTAGTTATAAGTAGTAATAATATTAATAATAATAAAAAAGCATAAATGTTTGCCTGTTTTTATCTCATTAATTTCGCCAGTTTGAACAAAGCTTTTAGTGGGGAAAATATCCCGATTAATATTCTGTTTATTCTGCAGGAAACATTTCAGATGCGTCGTTTCTGAATCCATCAGCTGTTGCCTTTTTTCCTCAAACCTGCGGGGCCGAGCAGCAAGAAATAAAACATCTAAAAGATTATTACAGTCAGGCGCGGGTTTACCGGGTTTTTATTTGTATATTTATTTGTATTTATTTTTTTAAAGAACTGTTTTTAACCGAAAGGTTCAGAGAACAGGTGAGATAAATATGTTCATTATTATTATTATTATTATTTGAACAGATTTACAGAACTATAAATGGACCGATTTTGGAAAATGAAAGAAATTCAAAGAATTGAGCTCCGGTAATTAGTGGGGAAATTCTGAACTTTCGGAGTTGTAAATTAAATTGTCTCCATCGGGAACATTTTAACTTCATTAAGATGAATCTAATTTTTCTTTTCCTAATTTTCATTTGTATTTTTTTTTCACAATAATCCTCTTTATATGACTTTTTTTTTTTTTGTTTAGGTAAAATCTTGAATGGATTTCTTCTGCGTTGTCTGGGCTTCTGTTACACATTATTTCGTTTTATTTTTTATTTTCTTAATTTGTGCCACGCTCTGGAACTTTTGCGCGCATTCCCGTGCGTGTCTGTGTGTGTGCGTGAATGCCTTTTTTTTTTTTTTTTTTTTGGGGGGGGAGGTTTGAAGTTTTCATTTGTGCAACCGCCAAACTCTCCCCAGTGACAGGGGGGGGG